AGATAGATAGATAGATAGATAGATAGATAGATAGATAGATAGATAGATAGATAAAAATAATGTTTATGTGGGTTTGGAGGTGAGTTGGTTTTCAGAGTTTCTGTCCATGGTCCTTGGTGACACCAACCATTTAGTGATATTTAACCTCCAATCATCTTTACACATGCTGTGATTTGTCCAAAATGTCACCATGTAAATACATGTTGTGTGCTTCAAGTGGCCAGAGAGATATGAAATACTTTGTGCATGATTGGAATTGACTTTGTTTTTTTTTTCTTATAAACTATGTTATCAATGCAGTGCTGTTTTCAATGACTACTCAATTAGACACCAACCAAAAAGCCCGCAAGGTTGTTACCACTCTACGATAAAAATAAGTATTCTCTCTTCTTAGAAGTCTGCCTATTGGATTTCTTCATTCCAAGACCAATTTTTTGGATCCAAGGAAGCAGGTACTCAGTCAATATACTTGATCTTACTATGGTCCTAAGCTATGGGCTAATCAGATGGATAGACGAGCTAACACTGGAGTGAAAGAAAAGCATGTCATGACATTTAGTGACATTCCAGCCTCCCCAACTCTCTCCCCAATACCAACATGTGGTCAGAGTCAGCAGAGGACTTTTGTGCACCTAGGAACATCAGCATTTGGAATAAGATGATAAACATCTCAGGAGTCTCAGAATACTGTGTGTACAGAATCCTGGCCTTAAAGCTAGGCACCCACCTGTTTATTGAGTGGTACCCCATCTGCAGTCTGCAGCCGTGATCCATGTTCGCTGATCTGTACCGGGGAGTGTGGGACATGCTCTCCCATGGGAAGGCCACAGCCTTGGTCAGCGTCCTCTTGATCTGTCCCATCTCTCTGGTGACAGCCCTGGACTCCAAGCTCAGCAAGCCCAGGCACATTCTCTGGATGTTCGCTCTGAAACCAGGAGGCATGATAATTTTAATTTTGCCTATATTCTGTGGTTCTACAGACTGACTTTTCAAATGTGACGGAGTCTCATTATGAGTAGCCAAGAGTAGCCTTAAACACCTGGTCTCATGCAAGCCTCACACTAGAACTATGCATGACCTGATGGGGTAACCGCTCACCTTGTAGGTGTTCAAGTCCTCCTTTTCCCCTAAGAGGCCCATTCCACTTCCTGCATTTCTTTCTTTTAAGCAGTCCAGGACAGGTGCTCATTTTTTTTAGAAAAGACTCATGAAAACTTTTATTTTTTGTAAATTACGATTGCTCACATGGCAGTATTATGAATGACGGGAGGAATTCCAGAGTATTCATCAACAAGAAACCTCACAACCCAGTCTAGGCTTTGCTTAACCACGGAACCTGGGAACCTGGTTGAATTCATTTTAAGGATGTTCCTCAATCTGAGGAGAGAGAATTGGCATTCTCAGGGTAACTTAAATGGCATGCTTTGTTTACTTAAAGGCTTCACCAGTTCAAACGGTTCCAAGTTCTCACAATGCAGGAGCAGCTGAGTTAGTGGCTTGTGTGGCTGCTCAGGCAACCCAGAAAGTAAGACTGTGGGGCAGGACATGCAAAGCCACAGGGCACTCATTTGGGCAATAAGGAGTTGGTCAGTGCCAAGTATTGTAGTCCACACCTGTAATCTCAGCAACTGGGAGGCTGAGGAATAAGAATCTTGAGTTCAAAGTCAGCCTAGGCTACATACAAAAATCCTGTTTTGCCGGGCAGTGGTGGTGCATGCCTTTAATCCCAGCACTTGGGAGGCAGAGGCAGGCGGATTTCTGAGTTCGAGGACAGCATGGTCTACAGAGTAAGTTCCAGGGCAGCCAGGGCTACACAGAGAAACCCTGTCTCGAAAAAAACAAAAACAACAACAACAAAATCCTGTTTCAAAATCACAAACCTAAGAGACAAGAAGAATGGCTCAGAGGCTAAGAATACTTGCTGCCCTTGCAAGGAGAGACCTGGTGTTAGTTCCCAGCACCCACATGGCGGTTCACAAACATCTATAAATCCAGTTCCAGGAGATCCCACACCCGCTTCTGGGTGCTGCAGGCACACACACAATGTACAGACATGCACACATGTGAGAACTAGATGGGAAGCAACAAGCCCTGCTCTCTAAATCTAGAAATTGTAACACACTGGATAAACATGTACAGATATCAGAGGTGACAGAGGCTTAGAAGGAATCCTTACAAAGCTGGAGGAATGGACTCAGTTCCAGGGAACATTTGTGCACCAGCTTTTATAAACCACTGAGATTGAGGTGAAGATGCCTGGGTGATGACCTCAAAGATTTGGTATCTATCCACAACAAAGGGGATATGTGAGCAGACTGTTCCAGAGTGGAATTAAAGATGGGGATGCTCTTAGAATCAAGTCCAAGTCCAACATTCAGGTCGATTTTTTTGTGTGTGCCTGGATAAGCCATTCTGTTTCTGTGACTTGGATTAATATGGAAAGATAAATAAAAATGAAGGACACAATGGTTTAGGCAGTGGGGTGGGGGTGGGTGCCTAGGATTCAACAGACGCAAACGAAATGAGTGGGAGGCATTACCTCCGAGAAATCCTCTCCTCCCTCCTCCATCTGCTTCCCTTGGCGCCAGTGTTTCAGCAGCCACCTGAGCTTGACATAGAAGAGGAAAATGTTCTGCTTCAAGGACCGGAGCTCTTGCTGCAGCATATTCTTCTCATCACTCCAGGTTCGCTTGTGAAGGGTGTTCTGTAGGGCCAGGCTGTGCATCTCCAGTTCCTTCCACCGCAGGGCGTAGAGATGGTCCTCCTCCATCTTGAACAGAAACAAGAAGCTGTGAAAAGCAGTTGATCCAAGGTGCCATCCACACCCAACCAAGGTTTTCTAGAGCAGCCTACTGCCCAGGCTTTATGGTGAGCAGGAGATGTGAAACGTGGGAATCCTTTTAAGTTTAAGGGTGATTAATGAGCTCATGAATTCTGTGATGTAGAAACAATTGCTGTTTCAAAGGAAGAAGGCATTACAACCTTCTTCACTGCCGGCCCCTCAGCACTTAATAGAAATCTTCATCCTCCATCAGGAAAATGCTACTTGGGTGCATGTTTGTGATTGACTCAGATGCCATGTAGGGAGACCTCATTTATCATTACAATGACAGAGAAGAAAAGAATTGGAAATCTACCTCTTACTTCCTATGGTTTCTGGCTTCTCTCAAGCCCTGGTAGAGAATACTGAGACAATGGAAGACCTACCAGGCACTGGAAAGCGAGAACAGTCCTGAGCATGTAGGGTTCAACTGTGTAAGCAAATGTGATAACCCGTTTCCACATTAAATGTGATCATTGCTTAGGGAAACCAAAGCATCATTAAAGAATTACCTATCTCTATCTCCACATTAACTTCCTGGGCTTTTTCTGTTTTAAGACATGGTCTCACTATGTCCCTCAGACTGTCCTCCCACCCCTGGGATAAAAGCAAATCTCTTGCCTCACCCTTCAAAGTAGCTGGAACAATGGTCACAGGCCACCACACATGGCTAAGTCCTTTTTTAAAAATATCTATATGGAGCGCTTCCAAGCAGGAACCGATTACTATGTATTGGCACTAGGCAAAGGGGTACAAATAAAATCTTATTTTGCAGATAAAGCCTCAAGGATAACCTCTGTTGTAGTGGCAGTGAGACAGGAAAGCAAGAGCTTCTGAATCAGACAGAAATGAGGGTTAGAATGGCAGCCTCTACCCTTGCCCGACTCAACACCCAGACCAAAAGGAGATGTTTTTCCCCATCAACTGCTAGATTCATTCTTGCAAACCACTAGGTTACAACTACGGCTGCCTGGTGGAGAGAGCAACAGGCCGATGTGGTAAATGAACGCTGATTCCCTCTAAGAAGGGCCACATGGCTGTACAGTGTGGCTATGGTCATAACACCTGCATTTCAAGCAGGAAGAAGAGGAAAGACCACCTCGACAGACCTCAGAGTCGCAACGCTGGTTATTGCCATACAGACATGATGCCATGGAGCAGAGAACAACCTGGAGCTCTGGAAATCCAGCCCTGCAGCTCCTCACTGTGTTCTCCTGACTGGAGGGAGCTACCTCGGAGAGAGATGAAGGCCACAGCATCTACTCCCACGAGGCTGTGGAATGGCATCAAAGCTCAGGGAGCTGGGCCTGTGAGATTCTTTACCTGAAGCACCCAGTCCAGACCTAGGGGACCTGTCTGCTCCCTCCACACCTGTCTGCTTTCTTTTGTTCCAGTCCATTAGGTGCCTCTTGAGCTCAGAGCTTGGCCTTTTGCCCTCTGGCGACATTGAGAGAGAATTTCCTGTCCCTTCTCAACAAACTAAAAGACAACAGCTCCTCCTTTGAAGTCTTTTTCAACTCACTCCTTCCTTGATTTTAACCCCAAGTGCTGTGCATTTCAGAGACTCTGCCACTGTGTCACCAACATCTCCATCGACAGCCTCACCTTTCAAACCATTTTACAGAGCGATGCAAATGCCTGCGTGCATGTGTGTGTGCACGAGTTTGTATGTGCGCCACATTGGTGGGGGACAGTTCTCTCTTACATAATTCCTTCTTTTTCATAACAATATGTGATACTTCACCTGTACAGAAACAGGTGGAAAGGAGTATCCAACTGGGAAAACACAGCAAGAGATAGTTAAGAGCCTGGCATTCAGCTCTGCCCTCTGTACGCTGCAAGGTATAGCAGACGCTGCCTTAATCAGCCTGTGACACATTTAGAGACTTTTAGCCTCAGTCACCATAGAGGTATATGCCTACAGCACATACTCCTGGCCAAAACAAACTTGGATATACCGAATGACTCATTTGTACAGTATACATGTTCTGAAGCATCAAGGTATATAACCCAACACCAACTGCTCTGTTTTGTTTTCTTTTGAAGATACAGCTCTCTTCCAAGAACAAGCACAAGGGGAGGGGAGAAGAGAAGCCCTGACAATTCTACATCTAGATCCTGGCTCACAACTTAATTAGATACGAGGTGGTAGGGCAGTGTCCTCGGAGGCCCAGGGCAGAAGCACCTGGATCTGGGAATCCCTTAGTGGATTGAGGATAATTAGCCTGTGACTCGTAACTTTAAAAATAACCACAAGTTAATCAGGCCATACCTCAATTAGTGGCAGTCTTTTTTAAGACAACAGTTTAAGGTGATTTGATGTTTCTATTGGACAGCTCTCCTCAGTGACAGGCATACTACCTTGGTTACATTCAACATCCTTGTTTCGTGGTAGTTTACCAGCACAGTTGCAGGAAAGTTCAACTAGATCTAAAGACCTTTCCCGAAACTACAGTTCTCCCTATCCAAAGGTTTGTTTTCTGTGGTTTGTTATCTATTAACCAATCATGATCCAAAAATATTGAAGAGGAAATCCCCCAAATAGCTAATTCATTCATCTAAATAATGTTTACTGTGGTGTATGGTTATAGTAGTTTTACTTTATGATTAATTATTGCTGTTCCTCTCCACCGCGTGTGACCTGCAAGGAAACAGTACAGGAATAGACTAAGTTTGGAATCGTCTGTGGTTTCCAGGCATCTCTGGAATGGTCTACGATGGCCCCTCTGTGCATTAGGAAAGACTACATGACTGAAAGGTGTGTTGCAGAATGGAAAGGTGGACAGGTTGTCTGTGGTGCATCTAGGAGCAAGCCTCTCAGCCGAGTGATCTGTGTAGATGTCTATGAGTCTTGGCACCTGCCTGCAACAGACACCATCACTTTAAAATGCATCATGGCACTGCTCCTGAGGGGCTCTGCGGTACACAGAGCGGGAGTGCTGGAACCCTCTTGGAATATTTACCTTACGGATCTTGTTTGTGTATGTCTCTGTCTCCTCTTGATGCAGTCTGGCCGCCTGCTCGAGCTGACCCTGTAGCTCTTCTACCGACACACTCTGCTCAGGTAAAACTGGGGAGCCCCTGAGCTGATTGGTAGGATAAAGGAAGGGTTTAGTGGAATCAAGAACTCAGCCTCACGTGATGACGAAGGACACACATCTGGACAAGGTGACACACACGGGGGCACAGTGGCTGCATCAGTGGAGTGACCACAGCAACCTCCCCAGGGCTTTCCCCAGAGGAGTCCTGCTGCTCTGGGCTCTGTGTCTAACTGAACTGCCTGTATCTCTTTCAGGTAGGAGATGAGGCAGATAAATGGGAACCCTTAACTACAACCAGGCTGAGAAAAACACCAGAGCATACAAGAAGGCCCTCTGCTACCTCAGCAGCTTCTAGGTGTTTATACCATTCAAGCAGAAGGACTTGGTGACAACACCTTAGTCCATCAAGGCCACTATCACACAGCTGGTCTCCTAGACTCAATTCCCTGAGCCGTCTGGGGTCTTATTTGTTGCATAACTAATCTGTCCATATGCTTTCCCTTTGGAAATTTTCCTACCCAACCAAGGATGCCTTTCTCTAATCCCACAGCATGGTCCTGGATGCCCTGGTTAGTTGCAGGTGGGGGTCCTTCCAGGGCACACATTTGCTTTTAAGCTTCTCTGTGTCATGCTATGTCCAGGTACAGCACAGATCTATTAATACTAGCCTCCAGTCTAGGGAGGTCAAGGAATCTGCACTATTATTCTTATTGATTAAGCTTAAATTTTATAGCCAAATGGTCATGAAAGAGAGATCCATCATTATTTTTGATAGAATGTTTCATTAAAATTGGAGCCACCATTAAAATTTAATCAAAATGTTTGTGCTTTAGGTAGGTGATTTTAACAACGGGGTTTTGGGGGCGGGGAGGGGATAGGGTCTCTCTATGTAGCCCTGGCAATCTTTCAAATTCTCTACGTACTCCAGGCTGGCATCGAACTCACAGAGCTCCTCCTGCTTCTGCCTCTAGGATTAAGAAGGAACTGTGCCATTACACCTGTCTGGGTAGGTGATTTTTAAAACTGGGAACTACAGTGGGCTGTTGTAATAAACAGACGTTGTAGGCTCCTTCTGCCTGCCTTTGACTAATTTCTATTCACTGAGGACACAGCTCTTCTAGAGGCTGCTGTCATTTGGCTTGTCACTGGATGATGGCCACACAGAACTCAAAAAGGCAGAGTCCTTTTTCGTTTATTATAATTAGAGGCTAAGGAAGCAAGACACTGGGGGTTTGGCAATTTTGCTGTAAACCTTTGAGCACCAAAGGATTTAAACTCAGTGGGCATGGTAGTGTATACCTTTAATACTTCCTGGCCTACATAGTGAGTTCCAGGATAGCCAGGGTTCCATCGTGAGACCTTGCCTCCACAAACAAAAGCTGTGGACGTAGCTCTGTTGTAGAGAACCAGCTGACCTGCATGGCTTCTCCCCAACATTAGAGATACTCAAACTTGCCCAACTTTAAGAAACTCAAGAACAAGGATTATGAAATGTTTCTCCGTTTTGTGAGTTGTTGGACATGGCTGGAAATTCTCTTTGAGTTTATCATGATGACTATGTTCAATTTTAATGGCTTAATTTTTTTTAAGTATGTGCCACCTTCCATATCAGCAGCTTACCCTTTCCTTATGCCCATCTGGAACAAGCTCAGTAAGCTTACTGTTATTGTTCAGTTGATAATCTTATCTGTTATCTGAAGATCTCAGAGTCGAATCCTGGTGTTTGACAATTCCTATTCTTTCATTGGTATTTTATTTGTTTATTTTGGAGTTTGGTATTTTTATAAATGAAAATGCTTTGCTTACATTCATCTCTTATTCCTCTTTTATCCTCTCCCACTCTCTCTTCTTCCCAAAACTTCCCTTTCTTGCCTTCACAACATTTTTGTTTTTATATAATCTACCCAG